TTGGGGCAGGAGAGTAGAGAGAAAAGACCTTTCCATTATCTTTTGTTGCACTTTGAGAAGGTCGCTCAGGAGGAAAATTCTTAACACTAAACCAAGGAGAGAAATCAGCCATAGGTGATAGATAGCTTGTCCCTCATTCTGTTGCTGTTATAGTTTACTGGTGTTATTATTTTAAGTGTGTTTTAATTGTCAATTGTTTAATAGTATTTTAAGAGGGGTAGGATTGTGGGATATAACATGTATATTTTAATGTTGTAAGCCTTCCCATTATGCAGAGAGGTGGGATGTAAATAATAATAATAATAATAATAATAATAATAATAATAATAAGGTGTCAGTGAAACACACACACACACACACACACACACACAAGGCCTGCCTCCAATTGCTACTACCAGTATGATTCAGGTAATATTTCTCTCTATAGTATACAAATATTGTCTTAAATCCTGTCCATCTTCCCAGATTAGACCCATTGACTCAACTGTTGAAATGCAACACTTGTGTAAATCCCATTAAAGTGGAGAGCCAATGTGGTGCAGTGGTTTGAGTACTGATTCTAGGAAACTAGGGTTGAAGTTCCTGCTCAGCCATGGAAACTCAGTGGATGATCTTGGGCAAGTCACAGTTTCTCAGCCTCAGAGGAAAGCAAGGGACAAACCTGGAAGAAATCCTGGCAAGAAAAGGTCACCCTAAATTGGTGTTGACTTGAAGGTACATAACAAAAACTAGAGTAGACTGGCTGAAGCAAAGGGATTTACTCAGATGTTGTAGTTGACTCATTGGGTCTAAACTGAGGCTAGCAACAAGAGTTAAGACAATGTAGTATAGAGGTAGAGGAATGCTATTTGTAGTTCCATTGGAGCAGACAGACACTTAAGTAAACCTCATTGATTCAATAGGTCTCCATGAATGGGGACCAACAATAGGACATATATTTATACTTCTATAAATTTGAATCCTATTCAAAGACATAGCCCTGTTAGTCTGGAAAATCAGTATGCAAAGGGAGCTTGCAGTGCTTCCCAAACTTTGATCCTCCAGAAGTTTTGGACTTCAGGTCTCAGAATTCAGAAGTGAAGTCCAGAACATTTGGAAGGCCAAAGTTTGGGAATCACTGTGAGACTCACTGAAAGAAAGAAGTTGGTAGCATGAGCTTTCCTAGACCTGAGCCTCTTTTTTCAGATGTATCCATCTGAGGGAGTAGGCTCAAGTCTAGCAAAGCTCATGCTACTGACTTCTCTCTTTCATTGAGTCTCAAAGGGGCTACAAGATTCCCGAATCCTAGGCCCAGTAAATCCATGGGATTTCCTATGGGCAGACATTCCATTCAACAGTTGATTCAATCCCTCTACTCCAGCTAGGACCAACTAACAGAGTATATATATATATATATATATATATATATATATATATATATTATAGTCACAGAGAGGAAATATTTTCCAGATACTCCCACCACTTAGCAGTCCAAGATTCGAATCCTGGCTAGTCCATGGAAACCCAATGGGTGACTTTGGCCAAGTCACACACTCTCAGCCTTAGGGGAAAACCAGTGGTAAACCTCCTCTGAACAAATCTTGCCAAGACAACCCCATGATCTTATTTATGGTGGCCATACTTCGGAAATTACTTCAAGGCATACAACAACTCCAGAAGCAAAAGCCATGTGGTTTGTCCTCTGCTCCATCTGCACTACAGAAATAATCCAGGCTGACACCGCTATAACTGCCGTGGCTCCATGCTTTGGAATCCTGGCATTTGTTGTGGCACCAGAGCTCTTTGACAGAGAAGGCTAAATATCTGTCACAAAACTACAAATCCCAGAATTGCATAGCATGGAGCCCTGGCAATTCAAGCGCTGTCAACCGGGATTATTTCTACAATGTAGATGCACCCTTATGAGAGAGGGCTGCCCTTTAAACCCATGCAGAAGAATCAGCTTTAGGGACTCTTGCACCAAAAGTAGGGTGTTTTTTGTTCGCTTGTTGTTGTACCTCCTTTCCTATCTAAAGTCCAAAACACACTGCAATAATAATCCGGTTTGAAACCGCTTTAACTACCCCAGCGCAGTGTTAGGGGATCCTAGGAATTGTAGTGTATTGTGGCACCAGAGCTCTCCGATACATCTCCCAGAAAACTACAGTTCCAGGAATTCCCTAGTATTGAGCCAGGATAGTTCAAGCGGTCTCAAACCGGATTATTTCTGCAGTAGTATTTTGGACCTAAAATGGTAACAATAAAGTCAGTCTTTAAAAAACACCAGAAAAAAACACCTGACCAGAGTCTTCTCTTTTATACCAGAAGCTCAGATGCACTGCATAATTAAATACCAACACAGGCCCAAACACACTGCAGAAATAATCCAGTTTGAGACCGCTTTAACCGCCCTAGCTCAGTGGTCGGGATTCCTGGGAATTGTACTCTATTGTGGCCCTTAGAACTCTAATGTCTCACAAAACTACAGTTCGCGGAATTCCCTAGCATTAAGCCAGGGCGGTTAAAGCGGTCTCGAACTGGATTATTTCTGCGGTGTGTTTTGGACCTAAATCCCTGCAGTTTGCCCAAAGACTCGAAGTTTGCAAGTGAAATGAATGAATCCTCCGGCCAAGAGATGCCCTAGTCAAAAGCCGGGAAAGGCCAGCCAGGGATTGATTCCTGGGATCGTGTGCCGCCGATCAAGGCCACTATAAAGCCCAGCAGGCTTCTCTTCGATAGGCAACTCTCTATCTTGGCAAGCTCTGCCCAGAGGAGGTTTTCCGTTGTCTTCCCCTGAGGCTGAGAGAGTGTGACTTGCCTGGCGACCCTAAGGCAACCTTATCACAGGGGTTTCTTGGTAAGCTTTGTTCAGGGGAGGTTTGCCATGGCCATCCTCTGAGGCTGAGAGAGTGTGACTTGCCTAAAGTCCCCCACTAGGTTTCCACTGCCGAGCCAGGATTCGAACCCTGGTCTCCAGACTCAATACTCAATCCACTACACCAGGTTTTACTTCCGAGTAAAAGTAAAAGTGAGAGGAAAGAATCACTACCTCACTCCCACAATCCATAGCTCCCACGAGTGGGGGAGCAGTGTTTCAAAACTATAGTTCCCTCCTTGGTGTAATGTTTTGGGCGTTGGATCAGGGTCCGAATCCCGGCTCGGCCATGGAAGCCCACTTAGGCAAGTCACACTCTCTCAGCCTCAGAAGCTGGCAATGTCAAACCCCCCCTTCTGAAGAAAATGGCCAAGAAGAAAATCCTAGGCTAGGTTTTGCTTTATTTAGGGTGGCCATAAGTCGGAAAGGACTGGGAGGCACTCAATCAGAACCACCCCAGCCCTGATTTGAAAGGGATTCCAGCTTTATCACCAATAAATAAGTGATCCCCCCCCCCGCCGCCTCCAGATCCAGGCAGCGAAGGGCTCCTGGCACCTGTCGGAAGTGCCCGCCTCTGCCCTTTCTGGCTGGCTCCCTTT